AAAAAATATATATATATATATATATATATATATATATGTATGTATGTATGTATGATAAAATTACTATTGTTTTGCCTTAAGTGCAGTTACCAATAATATTACATGGTCATTTCTTGTTTATTTTATGTTTATACACATTTGACAGTAAAGCACTAAGCTTGAGTTGGGAAGCTTACAAAATGTATTTTATTAACAACAGTAACATGTGCAAAATCAAATTTTTATGTTGAAAAGACATATATTGTACTCTTATTAGATAATAATAATTCCTCTATAGTCTTATATGAAACTGACCAACAACTTACTTGACCAACAAGTGATTATGTGTGATTTAGTTGCAAATTGAAGAAAAGTTTGTTTTTCAAAGCACTTTGTGATGTTTTTACTTCATACACAAAAAAACATCAAAACTCTGACAAAATCTGATTTCTTGATGATTTGACATTTTATAATAGTGATTTTATAATTATTTTATCATTTCAAAATATAAAGGAAAAAGTATAAATGAATGACTAATGCTATTTTAGTATCACTGAGATCCTATTTTATAGATTGTATTAATATTTCAAACAATTGTTTATTTCTATATTTTCAGTTTCCATTTTAAATATAAGTTTTAGTAATTTTGTTATAGGTTTTAATATTTAATATTTCTTATTTTTTATGTCTATACAGTTTTTATTTTTATTTCAGTAATGTTCATCAAGTTTAAACTAAAATGAGAACTATTACCTAAGTTTTTTTTCTTTTATTTATTTTTTGTTCCATTTAAATGTTATTTTATTTGAAATAAAGATGTTTTTTAAGGTTTAATTTACTATAATAACCCTGCCGATAATCTGCAATTGTTTTTAAGACCCATAACAAAAACACAAATAAATAAATAAAATTTAATTACATTTAAATGAGTAGTCTACAATTTTATTGTAAACTAATATACAGTGTAGCACAGATTTGGACAGATACCGATAATCTGTAATTATTTTTTGTTAAGGTCCATAACAAAAACACAAACAAATAAATAAATAAAATTTTATTAAATTTAAATGAGTAATCTACAATTTTACTGTAGACCAGGAGTGGCGAACGTTGGTCCTGGAGAGCCGCAGCCCTGTAGTTTTGCTTCAACCCTAATCAAACACACCTGAACAAGCTAATCAAGGTATGAAGGCTTACTAGAAAGCTACAGGCAGGTGAGTTTTAATTAGGGTTGGAGCTGAACTCTGCCAGGCTGCAGCTCTCCACCCCTGCTGTAGACTAATATACAGTGTTGCACAGATTCTGACAGATACCGATAATCGGTGATTATTTTGATATTAAGTAAATAAAAATTATAGAAATAAATAGATTAAAATAGATATAAAAAAATAAATTAGCAGGGCTCCAGACTAACTATTTTTACTAGCAGCACTGCAGTCCCTGACTGAAAATGTTTAGGAGCACAAGCAGAAAATTTAGGGCCACACCTTAAATCAGACTGCAATGCAATCATTCACATATTTTCCCCATTTTAACTGTATTACTGACAAATGCTTTGAAAATACATAGACTTAACTCAGAGATTACAATATGCAGTATTCTTTTAATTTCAGAGAGATATAATATAT